TGTATAGACCCTCAAAAGACGTGAATAGCCAAACCAATCTTGAGAAAGAACAAGGCTGGAGGCATTATGCTCCCTGATTTCAAACAATATTATAAACAGTGTGGTACTGACATAAAACAGACACATCAAGCAATGGAACAGAATAGAGAGCCTATAAATAAACCCATGCATATGTGGTCAATTAATTTACCACAGAAAAGCCAAGGATATACAATAGAGAAAGGACAATCTCTTTAATAAATGGTGCCACATACAAAGAATGAATCTGGACCACTATCTTACACCACATACAAAAATAAACTCAAAATGCATTAAACATCTGAAAGTAAGACCTGAAACCATAAAACTCCTAGAAGAAAACACAAGTGGTAAGCTCCTTGATATCAGTCTTGGCAATAATATTTTTTTGGATTTAACACAAAAAGCAAGGGCAATAAAAGCAAAAATAAACAAGAGGGATTATGTCAAATTAAAAAACTCCTGCACAGCAAAGGACAATACTTAGTAGAAGAAAATATTTGCAAATCATTTTTCTGATATGGGGTTAATATTCAAAACATATTAAGAACTCGTGCAACTCAGTAGCAAAAACAAACAATACACCTTAAAAGTAGACATTTTTCCAGTGAAGACATACAGATGGCCAGCAGGTACATGAAAAGGTATTCAACATCACTAATTATCAGGAAAATGTAAATTAAAGCCACAATGAGGTATCACCTCACACCTGTTGCAACCACTATTGTGAAAAAGACAACAAACAAGCATTGGACAGGATGTGGAGAAAATGAACCCTGTCCACTGCTGGTGGGAATGTAAATTGGTGCAGCCACAATGGAAAACAGTATGGAGGTTCCTCAAAAATAAAAACAGAACTACCATATGATCCAACAATTTCATTTCTGAGTATTCATCCAAAGTAAATGAAAACACTATGTCAAAGAGATATCTGCACCCCCATGTTCACAGCAGCATTATTTACGACAGCCAAGACAGGGAAGCAAGCTAACTGTCCATCGATGGATGAATGGATAAAGACATTGTGCCATATATACACAATGGAATATTATTTAGCACTTAAAAATGAGGAAATACTGCCACTTTTGACAACATGGATGGACCTTGAGAGTATTATGCAAGGTGAAATAAATCAAGCAGAAAAAGACAAATATTATATGATCTCAATTATATGTGGAATAAAAAACCCCACCAAAATCATAGAATTTTAAACCTAAAAAATATTTAATACAAATTAAAAGGGTGTGTTAATCCCTTAAAAAAATCATAGAAAAAGATCAGATTTGTGGTTATCAGGGGCTGGGAGTGGGGTGGGATTGGATGAAGGCAGTCAAAAGGTACAAACTTCCAGATACAAGAAAAAGAAGTAACAGGTATATGATGTTCTACATGATACATACAATTAACACTGCTGTACAATATATATGAAAGTTGTTAAGAGTAAATCCTAAGATCTCCCATCAAAGGAAAAAAAATTTTTTTTTATTTTTGAATCTATATGAGACAATGGATGTTAACTAAACTTACTGTGGTAATCATTTCACAATATATGTAAATCAAATCATCGTGGTGTACACTGTAAACGTGTACAGTTCTGTATGTTGATCAGATCTCAATAAAAACCGGGAGAAAAAACACAACATACGTATGGCAATAAAACTGGGAGAAAAAAACGATATACATACAGCAATGATATAATATAGCACAGGAAAAGATGCTCAGTATCACTTAGTCATCAAGGAAATGTGTGAGGAAGATTACAAAGGGACATGAGAAAACTTTCCAGGGTGATGGATATGTTCACTATCCTGATTGTGGGAATGGCTTCAAATTGCACACTCTATAAATATGTGTAGTTGGTTGTGTATGATTTGTATGTCGAAGCTGTTTTAAAGAAAAAAAAAGTGAGGCGTGAGACTCTCAAAAATGGAATTATCTTTTCATACTTTTAACATCTTTTAAAAGTTTGGAACCATATGAATATATTACCCACTCCAAAAATGAAGTAACAAAAAAAAGAAATGATTCTTAAGCTAAAAATGGGTAGTCTGAGTTGGTATTTTTCCAGCTTCAGTTACAAATCCTCTCAAACTGAGAAACTTCCTAGCCCACAAATTCCTCACTAGATCAGCAACATTCAGCTCTTTATGTTGCCCCCTTGGATGACAGAATCCAGACATGAAGGCTTCCTGTTCATGGTTATAGACAGACAGCAGTGTTTTGTTAGGACATTTATATGTACATACATTTCCTCTGACCTTAGAAGAGTCTAACATCCTAAGGTCATGCCAAATAAGTGAGAGTGCCAATAAAATCTGAGCGTCTGTTCCAGATTCAAAGACCAGTATAGATCTGCTTCTATGCTGTCCATTTCAATGATCACCTAAGATGACCTCAGGAGTAAGATCCATAGGAAGAAATAACTCTCATAGTTTTTAAATTATCAGAAATTTGGTCTCAAAACATGAGTCAAATTTTAATGCAGCTGTTTACAATAAATATGAGAGGAAGGGAAATTCTAACATGGAGAGAAATCCAAACCTCACAACGAACTATGACAGTTAAAAACCCAGGGTGCTCCTGCCAAATGTACAATAGGGTCACTCACTCCAGATAACCTGTTTGTGATCTCCAGCTGGAGAGATTTTCGATGTTCCTTTGGCCCCTGAGGCTGTTCAACAGCAGCAATCGTTCTCGAAGAGCTGTCACAAGCCCTGGAATGTTTGTTTCTTTCCACCAAGGGATTAAAGATACTGGATCTGGATCACGAAGCCAACACGGGAGGGTTCCTTAGCCCAGCATTTCTCAGCAGGCGTCAATTCTCCCAAGTAATAGCAATCAACCTTTAGATTACAGGTTGATTTGCCAAATGGGAATCACCTTGCAGGTTCATTACAAAACGGCTGCTGAGCTAAGCTGTGTAATGAGAAAGCCAGTCTATGGAAATCCTATAGGAAGCTTCTGGTTACCATCTGCTTTGGGATTCTCATCCACCTTCAGCTTCCTTATTTAAATTTTGTGACTGACATAAATGTGGATGCTTAGTGAAGAGCTGAATAAAGGTAACACTATGGGGTAATTCTAAAGGTAGAGTTATGGTTCAAGTTTCCAGAATACCTGCATCAGGATCTTATCATTACAAACACCTTGGGTAAATGCAGACCCAGAGGAGCTCTTTTCAATTTACTGGGTTTGTCCAACACTGGAATATTTTTCAGGATTTTGTGGCTTGGAGTGAAAATACTTTCATGACCTGCCCCAACAGCAACACCCCCCCACCCCAAGTAAACCAAGAAATCATCACCCGGCCTCTGAGACCCTGGGAGCCTCAACGCCCACTAAACCGATACAATGATTGCTCTTTAAAATAACCTGGAGCAGTCCTTCCTCACTGCTTTCAGAGAACACAACTCACTCTGCTTTGAAAGCCTCCCCAGCTGCTTCTCCGTTTGACTCTGCCTTCACCTTTCTCAAAGGCTATTATTCCAAATCCCAAATTGCACCCAGGACAACTCAAAGAAACTAGCCCAGGCTGATGTGAACTATGCTTCTAAAAAGCAATGTCAGGACGGAACACACACAGCCTGCTGAAGTGCCGGGGGGCTGGGGTGGACCCCCAGAGCAAAAGGAAGCCAGGGAAGGCTGCCAGCTGGGGAGTGAAACGGTCAGGTTAATGTTTCTGAGTGTTTGCCCTGGTTGGAGTGTGGACATTAGACCACAGAACTAAGGAAGATACAGAAGACAGGAGGGAGGATACCACAGTGAGCCCTGAACAACCTGGGGTTTGGGGGCGCCAATCCCATGCAGCTAAAGATCTGAATATAGCTTTATAGTCAACCATCAGCAGTTTAACCAACCGCAGATGGTGTGGTACTGCAGTAGGTAATTACTGAAAATAATCCAGATGTCAGTTCAAACTCGTGTTATGAGTCAACTGTGCTTACACTGTACTAGAAGGAAAGGGTAGGTGATGAGGATGGAAAGTTTGACTTGTGAAGCAGGACCACCAGAGGGTGCCTATTTAATGGCTTGAAGCACTCAAGAGAGTTGGGGCAGTGGAAAGGATCTGCAAGGTCTGAGACTCTTTAAATACCGCCAGAGTTCACTGGGGGTGAGGGTGGGGGATGCGGCAGGCCCATCTGCAGCCCCCAGCACTCTGGCTGAAGGCTGGACGGTGGTTTGATTCATGCAGGATCGCGGAACAAAAAAACAATGATTAACTGTCAATACCATTGATACCCTAATTAAGAAGGCTCATTAGACGCCACGCACACACTAGGCATTTCTGTATTCACAGCAACTTTTCCGGAGGATCATTACCAGTTTACAGTTGAAAACTCTGCGACTCAGAGAAATTAACGAAACTGACCAGTCACCGAGGCAGAAAGTGAAGAGCCCTGTGTTCCAGGGGTATCTAGTTTCAGAGTCCCAGGTGCACATAATCATTATTCATCCTCCTTACAGGACACCAGGGCTTTAAAATAATTGCATTCACTTTTGTTGTTTTAGGGCTGGATTACAGATAAAACCAGCAGTTTACCAACCTGAAGCAGCCTGTAAATCACTGAAATAAACTAACGGGAGCAAACCTAAGTGCTTAAATTTAGCTCTACAAGGAAAAGGAAAGTTAGGTTTTCAGTTTCTTAATAGCTTCATATTAACAATTTCCACTTCTGCTCTGCAATTTCAAACCGGCTTTAAATATTACTGACATTTTTTGATAGCTTGACGTCTTCGCTAATTAAACAAACACTTAGCCTCCTCTCCCCATCCCCCCCCCACCCCGGGTTCCCGGCCCTGGGAGGGGGAAGGGTACCCTAGAGGCGCTTACAGTGGTTTTTGCCTCTTCTCCCTCCGATATTGTTTTGAGAAGCAAAAAACCGAGTGCCTGAGAAAGCTCTAAGGACGCCTGTGGGTTGGCTCGGAAATAGGGAAAAGGAGTGCTCTGGCGACAAGCCCAAGCCGGAAGCTTCCCTGCTTACCTGTAGGTACTGCGCGGAGCCGGAGACGGAGAAACCGGTGTGAAACGCGGAAGTGCCCGGAGACAAAATGGCGGCGTCGGTTTTTAGGTCAAGTCAGCGGCCGGCTACGGTGGCCCAGGGGGGCCATTATAGTATTAGAGTCTCAATTCGCTTCTGGTTCCTGGTGACGTGAAGGGACTTAAAACACAAGACTAGAAAAATCCTCAGCGAGCGTAGGGGCAGAACACCGAGGACCGCGAGAAGAGGCCGCCCCTAGCTGGCCAGAGTCGGATTAGGAGAGAAGAGCAGTGCCATTCATTGAAGGTTTTCATTCGTTTATTCATTCATTCACTCGTGAGCACCGACACCCTTCAGTTTGTTCTTGGAGGTGACCCTTTCAGCGATGCTCATGAAGGGAGAGGTTGGACTAAACAAGACAGTCCGCCCAACAAATTGTTCCCAAGCGTTTAGTGAGTGCAAGGTTCCGGGCTAAGTGCCTAGGATGGCATCTTACCTACAATCTGGTGGTGACACGTACTTCGGGCCACCTACAGGCACAGCGAGCAGAAGCAAGGACAATGCTGGCTGCAGGTGGATGAGAGAGAATCGCCCTGGGAAAGAGGCGGGGCGACCTCACCACTTCGTTCTTATTTCTGGGGGTAGAGACTGAGGGTGGTGGGCAGAGGGGCTGGTCTGCAGTAGCCCTGGAGCTGTGTTCCCTTCCCCCACTTCCATTTCCTGGGATTCTCACTGGTGATAGGAGATGCTATCCTTCCTTTGAGAAACGAACAGTAAATATTCCTGCCTGCTGGCCTCAGTGTGGGTCATAGACATAGCAATTATTTCATGGCAAGAAAAATACCTGGAGAACGGGGGTTGTTGGGTGGGGATATATCTCAGGTGGTAGAGCACATGCTTAGCATGCACGAGGTCCTGGGTTCACTCCCCAGTACCTCCTCTAAAAAAGTAAATAAATAAACCTAATTACCTCCCCCCAAAAAACAATAAAAAAGAGAAAAGAAAATACCTGAAGCATTGTTTGAAACCAACAAACATACAAACAAAAAAACGCATTCCACTATGGGGGAGATTGCACCCTACACTGTCTACTGGTTTAAGACTGCACCCTACACTGACCATGACACCTCACAGGGTGTCGTAACTGCCCCCTAATAGGCCATCAGCTCTCCTTTTAAGCCAACTGCTTCTAGGTAATGGGGCATGTATCAGTTTACTGTTGTCATAATAAAGCTCCGTAACAAAATGCTGTAAAACTCAGAGGCAACAAAGCAATCATTTATTCTCACTCATGCATCTAGGAGTCAGCTGATCTGGGCTGAGTTCAGATGGGCTTGGCTCTGAGCTGCAGACTGCGTCCAAGTCATGGTTTTCTCACCTTCTTGGACCAGTGGGCCATTTGGGGCAAGTTCTTGTCATGACGATGGCAGATGCAAGAAAACAAACTCAACTTACAAGCACAGTTTAAACCTTTACTTGCATGGCATTTGCCCATCTTCCATGGCCAGAGAAAATCCACATGGCCAAGCCCAACATAAATGAAGCAGGGAAGTATATTCCTTCCATGTAGGGAAGGGAAGCATATTTTAAACGATCATCTGATTTGACATAAAGCCCATGTTACGCAGTGAACTCCACAGGTATGAGCGCACTGTCACACCTCCTTCATTGAAAATGTGTTCCCTGGTTGGAGAAGACGTTATGCGCTGTGGGGATGGATATAGCATTCTTTAAGTCCACAGATGTCGGTGCTGCAGGCATTGACCTTACATGGGCAATGATTCTGTAGTTGAGAGGCATGTTGCTGCCTCCTCCGGGGGTTGAATATAATCCACAGGCTACCAGGTGGCCAGCTGAGCCTCCCCAAAGATTAGTGTCCCACCAGGTCCTCAAAGTTGGCTTCTGCTGTTGTCAAGCTGGGTCCTCAGCAGTGGTGGTCAGCCAGCCAGATCAGCCTTGATGAAGGGCAGTCCATGCAGTGGAACCCCTACATGGCCTCTATCTTTTTATTTTAGCCACTTTCTACATGGTTTCTCTGAGCCAGAACTGGGCTGTTTGGGGGAAAAGGGCAACATCCACAGGTCACAAAGACCTCCTCCCTACTGAACACCTTCTAGTGGACATTTACACGGGGCAAGATAGCTTCACATTCTCTGCTCATTCAGAAAAGTCCATCCACATATTTCCCCACCGGACTGCCTGTACCTAATCTCCAATCTTGTTCTTTCCAAGTCCCTGATCAACTGGTCACCTCTTCAGCCAGTGGCCATCAGTCCCTCAAGCCACCTCTACTCATGTAAGAAGTGGAAAACCCGTCATCCTGCTCAGAGTTCTAGCACCTGAGATGACGCCTCTATGCCACTGTCTTCCCAGTGCCACACCCGGGTGGGGCTGTAATACAACGGCCGCCCACGCCTGGCTTGTGCCAGCGTACTATGTGGATGCCAGGAACCGGACCTGGGGGAACCCCGAGTCTCCAAGCATGGGCTGAGGAAGAGGCAGCAAAGCCGGCAATGCAGGTGCTATGGGAACCCGTCCTCTTCCTGTGCAGCTCACTCCCATCGTCCAGACCTGCTCAGCCCACTTCCACATATACACTTCCCTTTTCTGCTATGGAATGTTTCTGTGTACACCCGATTTCATGGATCAGATAAAACTAAATTCATGAAGGGTTGCTCAAATGCCACCTGACAGAAACTGAGGGTTCAGCCAGCTTGCAGTGAGGGAGCTGGGGAACAAGTACCCTAACCTCACTGCATCCCTCTGCTCTCCTGCCAGGGCTCCCCCTTGGCTGTGTCTGACCAGAAGCCAGAGAGCCCGTTGATGGGTCTACGTAAGTCAGCCCCTGGGGGCACAGAGCAGGGTGAAGAGGAGAAATTCCCCAGGTGGGCTACGGTGGGCAGGCTCTAATAAGGCCCCCACTGAGCTCCACCCCCTGGTATCCACCCCCTGTGGAATCCGCTCCTGTATTGTACTGGGGTTGGTCTGTGTGACCAGCAGAAAATAGCAGAAATGATGGCGTCACCTTGCTAATTAGATTGTTCAAAGGCACTGCAGCGCAGGCTTAGGTCGCTGTCCCAGGCAGCTTTCCAAGATGGCCCCACGATCCCTGCCTCCTGGTATTGGTGCCCTGGTATAAAACCCTTTCTCTGAGTGTAGGCTGGACCGAGTGACTTGAATCTAATGAACAGAATACGGTAAAAGAGGTGGGATATCACACTCCCAAGAGTAGGCTACCAAGGCCAGTGCCTTCCATCTTGTTTGCGCGCTCTCGTGCCTTCTTGCTTGCTTGCTCCGGGGAAGCCAGCTGCCCTCTGGAGAGGCCCACGTGGCAGAGAGCTGAGGGTGGCTTCTGGCCAAGAGCCAGCGAAGAACCGAGGCCCTCAGTCCAGCAGCCCATGAGTTACTGCATCCTGTCAACACCCACAGGAGTGTGTGGGAAAGCATCCGCCCAGGTGAGACTTAAGAATCTTAGACAGTAGTCACTGTGGCAGCAGGTATACTAAGATTGGAATGATGCAGAGATTAGCCTGGCCCCAGGCAAGGACGACACACAGATTCATGAAGCGTTCCATATTTTTAAGTAATCTTGTTACAACTTTCATTACAAACTGTTAAAAAAATTCTTAAATAACTGCAGCCCTAGCTGACAACTTGATTGCAGCCTCTTGCAAGACCCAGAGCCTGAGGCCCCAGCTCAGCCTTGTCTGGGTTCCTGGCCCACAGACAATGTGAGAACGCAAGTGTTGCTTGGAGTTTGTGGGTATTTATTAAACATGGGTAACCAACGTAGTCTCAGTCTCTCTCTCTGTCTCTCTCATCACTTGCTTCTCGGGGAAGGCAGCTGCCCCATCACTGGCAGCCCACCTGACCGGGAACCCAGCCTTCTGCCAACGGCCATGAGCGGGCCTAACGCAGGTCATCACACAGCTGAGCTGTCAGGTGACTGCAGCCCCTGCCAACACCTTGACTCTGGAGAGCCCCGGTCTCAGAACCCGCAGCTCAGCCACGCCCAAATTCCTGCCTTCAGAAACTGTGTGAGGTAATGAATTTGCCTTGCAGCAGCAGGTAACTAGTATGTGGGCAAACAGAAACCACTCCATGAGGAGGGAAAGGGGAAAGTCCATGAAACTGGGTGAAATATTTCTGAAGACAAGTATCTGTTTTTGATAGGCTAAGCCTATCTATGGAGCTATTTTTAAAGTTTCTTTCATAACAAAAATGTGTTTTCCTTTGACCCAAGGATGAACTCTGGTATTCCACTAAGTGGAGAATAATGTGAGCTATCTTTTATTTAGAACCTATTACTGGGGGCAGTGAACGTAATCATCCTTCACAAATAGGGAAACTGAAGCTCAGACAGCTTAGGTCATTTCTCCCAAGACACAGAGCAAAAGACAGAACCAGAATCCCAACCAGGTTTGAAGCCCAAGTTCTACCCACGACTTGTTATGGCCTCCCTAATAGTGATCCTTGTAACTTTAAATAAAATATACCCTATAGTCCAAGTGACAAATACAGGAGTACGTTCATTCATCAAAGTTAGAAAGTTAAAGCATCTTCATATTTCAAAACAGGCAATGAATGTGGGATAGGACTGCCTTCAGCTACGTCTCTCACCCCACCTCCATCCCAGCTCGTTGCTGGCGCTCAGTATACTTGATGGTGACATTAATTCCCCAAGGACTCCGCCACCTGGGGATCTGGAACGAAGTCCTTGGGGTTTTCCAAGGGGGGCCTGGCGCGCCCACAGCGGGGAGAGGGGCGGAAATGGAAGACTCTGCAGTGAAAGTTGGGGAGATGGAGACCGGAGGGCGCGGGGCTGCGGCGCCCCAGGGTGCCAGGGGCCGGGGAGTCCCCGGCAGGGAGGTGCCCCCCGGGAGCCCCCAAAGCAAGGAGGGCACCGGGGAGCGCGCGGCGCGGGACCCGGAAGTGGCCTTTGCCAGGACCCAACATGGCGGCCATAGCGCCTCTCGCCCACGTCCCGTAACCTCCCGTAACCAATGGCGCCGCGACGCTCGGGTGACTTACTGGGACGAGTTCTGCACGACGCTGTATGATGCAACGTCCGAGTTGAGGAAGCCGCTGGTGCACGTTGGGGTGATAAGGCGGCGGCGTGTTGGAGGCGATGTCCTTGGAGGTGACCAGGGCCACCGCAGGGATGGTGCTAGGTGCGTGAGGCTCGGGGACCCGGGGGTGTAAGGGGCGCGGTGGTTGTGGTTGGGGCAGGAACCTAGTTCCGGCCGAGGACGATTCTGACCCTAGCGCCTGGCACAGAGTGGGCGCCCCGCCACTGTTTGCGCGAACGATAAGGAGGGAAGGAGGAAGGGCGGGAGGAGGGGCGCGGACCCACCCTGGGCCCGCACTGGCCGGGCCGGGCTCCCCTCGAGCCCTGGGTGCCTCGGGCTGGGATGGCGGCCGCTCCTGGCCCTGCCCCACTGCGAAAAATCCCATGATCCAGTTGACATTTAGGCCCTGCGAGGCACGGTCAGACGTCTGGGTAGCCCCTAAAGGAATAACTCTTCCGGGTGATCGACAGGAAGGAACTTAACGATGCGAATCCTCTTTCACACATCCTCATTTATATTGAGATTTCCTGAGAGACCATATGGTGCAGTAGAAAAAGGGAGAGATTTAGGGGACCTGGATTGATGTCGCTGTTCAGACTTACTAATTGTAGGGCCTTCTGCAGTTTGTTTAATCTCAGGTTTCCTTTAAGGAATAGAGGAAACTGGTGTTTGTTTATCTGTGCCCTGGCACTAGGCTGTCTGATTTATGCAGTTCATCCTCAGTACTTCGAGACGAGTATTGTTTTTCTAATTTTATAGACTCAGAAACTAAGCCCAGAAAGGTTAAGTGAATTCTCCAGGGTCACTCTGGCTTTTAAGGTACAACAACATCTACGATTCCAGTCTGGTCTGACCACCTTCAAAGCCCTTGCTTTGTTGTTGGGGACCCTAGTAGACAGAAGCAGTATCACAGATTAAAATGATCAAAGTTTATTTTGGAAAGCTCAATTTGTAACTGATCTCTTTTTATGAGATGGATGTCGTTGAAGAGGGGAGTGGGAAGATAATTACTATTTAATTTCTTTTGGATCTTGATAATTTTTTACCAATCAGATGCTTGTTCTGTTTACAAAGGTAAAGAATGGATAAAGTAGGTGCAGTATGAGGTGACTGATATTTGTTGGCCAAACGAGTAACTTATTCTCATTTTGCAAAACAGCAGAGCTGTATGTCTCCGACCGGGAGGGAAGTGATGCTACCGGTGATGGAACCAAGGAGAAACCTTTTAAAACAGGTCTTAAGGTAGTATCTCTTCCTCATTAGGAAAACAGTTTTACACTTATTGATGACTTATGTCAGTTAGCATGTGATTTGTCAAGAGTTTTATCTCAAGCACTAGGTTTTGAAGAGAATTTTTAGAAAGGGAAAGGGATATATAAAGATACGTAGTTTTAAGGACATGAGGTGATCTGAGCCTAAACTTATTTGAACACTTTTGGTAGCTGTCTTCTCTTCTTCCTTACCAAGCGGCATTGCATCTTGAAGTTTTTCGCTCCAGTGAGTCAGGTGGCCAGTTTTTCAACTTTTGTAGAAATGAAAATCAGCTTCCCTCGTTCACACTGAGTTTAAGCCCAGGTTTCTTCCAAACTGACTCCTGAGAGTCCTCTTGGTAAATTTACCACCCAAATCCAGATGTGATCGTGACCCTTGAGACTCAAAGAACTGACTTAAGTCAGTGTACCGAGAAAGGACCCCCATCTCAGAGGAGATGCTCAGTAACTCATTAGTCTAGAGCCTGAAGCCCGGATGCTCATGTATTGATGAACTATTACTTCTCAGGGTCTAGAATCCTCCGATGAGTTTAGCATGTTCTCTCTAAGCAGACTTCCATGGAAAGCCAAATACAGTTCAGACGGGTTCTTCGAGAGCATTGACTCAGGACGTGAGTAGGTAACTGATCACATCAGGTTACCATGTGGGCCAAGAGGCAGCCCTCTGAAAGTAGCGGTGGGCTTGATCCTGAGTGGCTACAGCTGCCACTGCAGGAAGATGGCGAAAGCCCTCTCCTAGGGCAGCACTGGGAAGAACCTGCCCGACACTCTTCTTTCTGTGTGTCCCTGTCTGGCCAGTCCCTGCTTTGGTGTTTAACTCTTAGAGGGAAATCTTTTTCATTTCTGATTGTTGGGGTGATTCCTGTGGCTCCCCCAAACATTCATCTAGTCCCCGAACATTCACTGTCTAGGTGACTGTTTGCAAAACGTCGCTGTGCTACACAAAAGTGTGCCATTCTGATTTGGGGAGTTACATTTTGGCTCTTTCAGTGATAACGAAGGAGGTATCAGGGTAGACTGTCAGGTAGGAAATGAATTCTTGGTGATTGACAAGCATCCTTTCAAAGTCAAATTGTTAAAAAGAGAAACTGAACTCTCTTGAATGTTTCCAAAGATCCAGGTTCCTTCCTCCCCTGTGGCAATAATTGAGTTGAGACTAGTGTTAAATCAGGATGAGAAGTATTTTTCAGACCTTTAGAAAAGGTCTAGTTTCCATAAACTTCAGAACTTACCACTACAGAGAGTAATTCATTGCCTTTCTTGGTTGACAATAACTTAGGAGAAAACATGAAGGACTATTTGAAGCAGTTAATAAAACACTTATCTTTTACATATTTCTAACTATTTTGAAAAAGGAATACAGGCTGTAAAATATTAAATGAAACAGTGATATCTGATGTGTCCCAATGTTGGTGAAGAGAGGGACGTATTCTGCACACAGGGATTTTTACAATTAAATAAAACTTAACCTTTTGAGTACTTAACTGTTATGTTGTTGAGTTTCAGAAGTGGCTGAATTCTTAGTGAGGATTCACCACCTAGATGTGATTTGCAGTTGGCCTTTGCTGTTAGCTGTCTCTTCTGTTGTCGGCCTTTCTCCCTTTGGTCCCCATGGCCACTTCAAATCTGTTGTTTCTGGTCTACTAGTATGGGAAACTGTATACCATGTAACGGAACTTGCTAGAATTGTTTGGGAAAGGACGTTCTACTTTAAATGTCCTTAGTACGTTCAGTCATTCCTTCCATCAGCATTGATCTTGGCTGTTGGGGTCTTTATGCTTTCTTCTTGGCTCTTGATTATGTTCTAGGTGATGGAAGTCACTTTGTAATTCAGGTTTTGTTTTGATTTTAAATATTGTACAATGTTAAAGAAATGTCCTTTTCTCCCTCCCTCCCCAAGGCTCTGATGACCGTTGGAAAGGAACCCTTTCCTACCATTTACGTAGATTCACAAAAAGAAAACGAGGTAGGGTGAACCGAAAACTTGACAGAATTATATTTTATGAAGAAATCGTCAATCAAATGCAGAGGTCTTGAAAACATTAAGTTTCCGTCTCTCCCTCTAGCGGTGGGATGTTATTTCTAAATCACAGATGAAGAACATTAGAAAAATGTGGCACAGGGAACAGATGAAGAGTGAATCCCGGGAAAAGAAAGAGGTGAGCAGTCAATTTGTTGCTGTGAACATTTTTGAAGTTCAAACGCTAGAAGCTGTGTTAACACATCGCCTCATTGTTAAAACTAGGCAGAAGACAATTTGCGAAGAGAAAAGAACCTGGAAGAAGCGAAGAAGATCACCATAAAGAATGATGCAAGTCTCCCAGAGCCAAAATGTGTAAGTGTGACGTGTGTCCTTTCAAATACCGTGGACTTGCCACGGCAGACTGTTACTCCTGTGTCTGGGAGCTTGCTTCGTGCGCTCTCCCTTTGCAGTGTTTGTCTTTTCTTTTCTTTCAAGGGGGAGAGAGAGAAGTAACGTTTGGGAGTTATGAGGCCGGTTCGTTTTTTAATGAAATTTAGTAATTGCATGTTAAATGAATTCTGTCCCGACTAAAAGCTAGCAGACCTGGCTGGGATCCAGGCCTGGCTGTGCTGTGTGGTGTAAGTCAAGGGATTTTACCCTCCCTGAGTGTCAGTTTCCTCACCATTAAAAGAAGAGGTTGAAATTCTTGATTTTCATAATTTTTTGAATAAATTTTTACATTTTTCATTTTTAGAAATTTAGTTTTTTTTTTTAATGGAGAAACTGGGGATTGAACCCAGGACCTCATCCATCCATGCTAAGCACACACTCCTCCACTGAGCTATACCCCAACCTCTTCACGACTTTTTAAATCGAGAAAAAGGTTCTGTGATTTTTATGTTTAATTGCATTACACCTGTAGTCTTTCTGGAACGGAATGCTGGCCTGTGGGTGGACGTGGTTAGGTTTCACACAGTTCTTACTGCTGCTGAACTGTCATATATTTCTTGCTTCCTTAGTGATGAAGCTGTTTTCTGGGCCCACCCACCATCTCCTTCCTCACGCTTCTCCTTCATCCCCCCAAACAAAAAGCCAGCCCGTGGTATCTTCCCCCTCCCAGAGTGGCCGGAGGGACTGTGAGCTCAGGGCCAGGGCCCTGCATGGATGAGGCTTTTTGCTAATGTGACTTCATTTATTTGTGGATTTTACGTAGCGATAGATGAAGTTCTAGGTATTTCTCATCGCCAGTTTTGCACAAAGAGAAAGAAGACTTGGACTTTTTTTTTAACCACTCCAGTATGATGCAGTTTTTTGGCTCTAACCTGCAGTAGAATGACTGTCTGCAGTTTTACACCATTTGTGAATTTTTGACGCTTTCCTGCCATCCATCTAATATCTGTTAAAAAGTTGGTATGTGATAAATGACACACGGGGTCCAATGTTACGTATTTTAACCTGACAGGTGAAGATTCGTGCACTGCAAGGATATCGAGGCCAAAGAGTAAAGGTGTTCGGCTGGGTCCACAGGCTGCGTAGGCAAGGTAACTGGCATAGCCATCCTTTTTCTCTAATTTTCAATGTCCCTGGTCTTAGAGGACAATGAACATTAAAAAACAAACAAACATTTACTTGCAGGTATTTTTGTTTGGGAATGCTAGCTTTTTAAAGGACACAGTGGTTTATATCCTAAACTTCTTCTCTTTTAACATGACTGTTAAAAGTTGAACATTATTTAATATTATTTAACTGCATTAAACTGTGTAATTGTTTAAAAGTTAACATTATTTAAATGTTACCTAACTGTAAGAAATCACAACGATCAGGAGGTGTCCAGTAAATATTTGTCTAATTGAATTGAATTCTTTAATGAAAAGCAGGGGATATATTAGAGGAAGTGCAGGGCCAAACCTGAAACTTATTTATGGCAGTGATGCTGACTTTTATAATTAGTATATTCGCATTGTACTTCCCCCCTCAGCCCTGATTTTATCACTTTTTTTTTTTTTATTGTAAGTGGTTGTTAAATCCTTCGTAAAAAGAAACGGGACATAAAAAACTAAAGGAGTGATTCTGTGTGGCAGTATACATGCACCTCCCACTGAACGCGCTGTGCTGGGTGGTGTGGGGGGGTTCAGCGTGAACCAGACGTAAACCCTCACTCACCTGCTTACTGTCTTGCTTTCCCGTGATCATGTGGGTCAGGAGGCTCACGTAGGATTTGAAAACATAACAAAGAACTGAGTAGTGATATAGCCAATGGACACTGCGGAGGAACAGGGCCTCGTGGGAGGTTTGAACTTCCAGCGTTTAACCTTGGTGGTTCCTTTATATAAGATTAAATTAGGAGAAAGGGCTTTCAAGTGTCTGGCGAACAGTCTGGCTAAATTTCTCTTTCTCATTTTTAGGAAAGAATTTAATGTTTCTGGTGTTGCGGGATGGTACGGGTTACCTTCAGTGTGTCTTGTCAGACGATTTGGTAACTATTTTCTCTTATTTGTGATGGCTAAAAGTTAGATTTTTTTCAGTAGTCTCCTCCATTGTTAGTTTCGGGAATTTTACATTCTGTGTACTTATTTTAAGCTGATACTGTTGGAGAATTTCCAACATCAAAACAATGGAACAGTATAAAGAAACCTCAGAGAAGCCCACGAGGAACATCTTAGTTGGGCTGCTGTAATGAAATACCATAAACTGGTGATACTTAACAAATAAACAGGAATTTCTTTCTTTCAGAAATATTTTTGACATAACCACACCACCATTTTCACTCCCACTCCAAAATTAACACAAAACTCTTAAATATCCAATCAGATTCTCTCAATTGATTCATAATGTCTTTTTACAGTTGTTTGAAGGAGAATCCAGACAAGGTCTCCCTGTTGCATGTAGTTGATGTGTCTCTGAAATCTCTCTTAATCTGCAACAGTTCTCCATTTTCATTCTCTTTTCTCCACCCACCCTTACCATTTATTTGAAAAAGCCTGGTCATTTGTCTCATGGAACTTCCCACACCCCAGATTTGATTGATTGCATCCAGAGGTGTCATTTAACATGTTCCTCTATCTGTATTTCTTATAAGCTAGAGTTCAGGTCTGATCAGATTCGAGTTCTTTTTGTGGGGATCGGGAAGTGGTCATAACTACTTCATGGGCAAAGCTGTGTTCTTCCAATTATATCACATCATGGATGTCCGTTTGTCTTTTTTTTATGATTGGTGGGTTTGGGTGTCGATCGCCTGATCCCTCCTTTATAAAATTCTCCATCGCTTTTCTCCTAATGATTTTAGCAAGTATTGATGATCATAGCCTAAATGGACTCTGTGTATTATTTTAACAGTCTGATTTTTAAAGAAAAAGGAAAAATAGACTTTCCAGATGCTTTTAAGAGATGTGGGCTAGTGTGACTTATGAACATGTTTATGTATAAAAAGTATGTACTTACACATATGTGTATCTGTATATAGATAGATCTCTCACAAAAATAGCTATTCTTTGTTAATGTTAAAAATATATGGCCATCTTCTTATTTTACTAGTATTGGACTTTGTAAATAATCCCCTTTGCTTCCTCTCTGTTAGAATATTTTAATGTAAGTGTGAATAACTAAACTTGAACTTGATCTTTTCACAGTGTCAGTGTTACAATGGAGTCCTCTTGTCCACTGAGAGCAGTGTTGCAGTGTACGGAATGCTGAACCTTACCCCAAAGGGCAAGCAGGTGAGTGGATTGAGTTCCTCACCAGGTGAAAAGGTGTGTGCTTACTAGTTTTCCAATGTCTTTATTTTGTGCTTTTGATATTTGGCGTATAAATACACGAATGTGGTGATGCACTTGCCAAAAGTCGAATGCCTTTCCCTTTCCCAGTGAAATATGGACGCTGTGCAGCTCACATGATGTAACGACCTCAGGGACTAACCACCTAAAGAATAACTGAGTAATCGTCATGGCCAGAACTGTTTGCTCTGTGTGTGTGTGGGGATAACTTTTCAGCTGGGTGGAAATTAAAACTTAACAATCTACCCGCAGTTTTTCAGGAAAGAACAGTGATCTAAATCTGAAACTTTCAAAATAGAACTTGAAAGCCTCTTTTTAAGAGAAAAGTTAAATATAACTCTGATATTCAGAGAATTGCTTGTTCCCCAGGCAACGGGCAGGTAACCTGTACCCGTTACAGATACTTGTCGGTAATTGTTGTTCAAATAACAACTGTGGTTGTATTTGTTTGTTGGGAAAGAAGACAAGTGTGATGTATTAACCACCAGAGGGAGCCCCTAGGATTCTCTGGATAGACTAGCGATATCGGTAAAACAGCCTCCCAGAGTTCACAGAAAGAACCTTTATCAAGAGTGAATGTCTGATTCAAGTTCACTGAGTTTTCTTTGGAAGTAGTGTAATTGCAAAAGGGAGTGGTTGTCGTGATGATACTAGCTGTGTAGAGTTTGACACCAAGATAATTATATATTCCATTGTAGATGGCTTCAGTGGAATTATTAGGGAGAATTTAAATTTTTACTATATATATGTTCCAAAGAGAAATAGCTTTTGATAAAACCTTTGCATTTAAGGAGTTTTTCAATGTGGGTATTATGTTACTTTTAAATTATTGGGCAAAGGCTAGAAAGTTATACCAAAATGGGATTATAGTTTCTCTTATTTTCTAGTTTGTGCTTTTTTATTTTTAAAAACTTACGTATTATAGGTATTTACTCCGAAAGAAATATTAATCTATCGGTAGAAAATTCAATTACTGGTCTCGTTTTTAGAAGGGCAGGCTAACAATGATAAGATTCTTAGGAATTACTTACTAAAAGTTTTGACATAAATTAAAATCTTCAGCACTGTGCATTTTTTGTTTCCTGCTCCCTCCCTTTCGTTCTCCCTGCCCCCCTTTTAAAAACGTAGGCTCCAGGGGGCCACGAGCTGAGCTGTGACTTCTGGGAGCTGATCGGGTTGGCCCCCGCAGGAGGGGCCGATAACCTGATCAACGAGGAGTCTGACGTTGACGTCCAGCTCAACAACAGACACATGATGATCCGGGGGGAGAACATGTCCAAAATCCTAAAAGCACGTTCCATGGTCACCAGGTGCTTCAGAGATCACTTCTTCGAGAGGGGGTACTATGAAGTAAGTGCGCGGGCGCCATCTTTTGCGGGCCATGCCCTTTGCCATCTTTGAACTTGAATAACGGTGCTCACAGAAGGCCTTTATGTTCCCCTCCTTTCCGTCTGAGCAGATTACTCCTCCGACCTTAGTGCAAACACAGGTGGAAGGTGGGGCCACCCTCTTCAAGCTGGACTACTTCGGGGAGGAGGCCTATTTGACTCAGTCCTCTCAGCTGTACCTGGAGACCTGCGTGCCAGCATTGGGAGATGTGTTCTGTATCGCGCAGTCGTACAGGGCGGAACAATCCAGAACACGAAGGCACCTGGCTGAGTACAGAATTATCTTTTTACTTAAAAATAAATTTTTTTTTTAAAGAAAAAAGGTTCAGGGGGCGATCTTTATATAGGTAAATGATGTCTGTAGAAACTGTTGCTATGTTAATAGGGTACGTGAAAGGCAGTTGAACAAGTTAATGGAAACCGTGGAAGAAGTTTTGCCTCTTAGGCCATAGCTCGCTAAGGTCTTTCTTCTACTTTGTCTTGATCTTTTATTAAGGAATAAACAAGGAATCTCTGTTGGGGGGAAAAGGGGGGCCGGTGGTCTAAACCTAGTTTGCAGAGCTGGGAATTGATTAGCCGGGTAGGAGTTGTACCTTTCTGGGCAGTTTCCCAGCAGTAGAATCCTTGCTTGAAAAGGAGAGCAGCACTGAGCCCCTGTCCTGTCCCTCAGATACACTCACGTGGAGGCTGAGTGCCCTTTCCTGACCTTCGAGGAGCTCCTGGACCGACTGGAGGACTTGGTTTGTGATGTGGTAGACAGAGTCCTGAAGTCACCTGCAGCAAGCATCGTGCGTGACCTCAACCCGGTAGGTGTGCTGTTTGATGGAAACACAGGCATATGATTCTGTTTCAGGAGTCAGTGAATCTTCACCCTCAGGTTTTATAGATTTAATAGCTTGGTGAGCTTTGAGAGAAGTGACTGGTATGTATATATGTATATTTTTGAACTATAATTGATATGTAACATTATAGTAGTTTTAGGTGTACAACATAATGATTTGGTATATGTATATACCAGAAAATGACCACCACAGTAAGTCAAGTTAACATTCGTCACCACACACAGTTACAACTTTTTTTTCTTGTGATGCAACCTTTTGAGATCCATTCTTAGCAACTTGCAAATTTGTAAAACAGTATTATTAACTGTGGTCACCACACTGTACATTATATCCACAGGACTTACTTATTTTATAACTGGAAGTTTGTACCTTTTGACCCCTTCACCCACTTCCAGACTAAGATTTTGAAGACTAAAATTTTGTACTAGTCATTGCCGACAGTTTCATAATATTTTAACTTACATAGGAGGAAGTTTGTATCTGTTTTCCATTTTTAGGAATGTCCACATTGTGTTTTCAGTCTGAAATAATATTACAATACTGGTAAATAGTGTTTCTTAAAGTGGAAATGTTAGTGTTTATGGTTTCTTTATGTAACTGTATTTTTCCTTTCTACTGTAGAAGTTCAAGCCCCCTAAACGGCCTTTCAAACGGATGAACTATTCAGATGCTATTGAGTGGCTAAAGGAACACAATGTGAAGAAAGAAGATGGAACTTTCTATGAATTTGGAGAGGTACGGGTTCCTTTCTAATCATTATTCCAAAGGGGGGGCCTTGTGCTTCAGTGGATTGCTGCTTGCGGTTAAGTACCCACTAATGCAGGAGGCCTCTGCTTGTCATTAAATAACCGCAGAACCTCCTTCTTGGGGTCTGAGGATCCACTGGGTTAGTAGATGCAGAGTAAACCTTAGGGCAGTGCCCTTTCTGTTGTGTTCAGTGCATGTTAGCAAGTCTGTCGCCTTCACATCTCATCCTTTGTCTCTTTCCTCTTCCATGGTCAATCCGTGGGCTTGACTTACAAGCTCTAGTTGTAATTCTCTAGACTGGCAGCATGCTTCAGAAAGTTGTGAACTTTGAAATCACGTGCAAAATGTTGGTATGTGTATATATTCGTTTTATTTTTATGGAGAAAGTATCTGGGTCTTTCAAAAAGGATTCTTCCCCCCAAAACGGTGAATTAAAACTCCTGCATGCAGAGGCGATTCAAAGTAAAAAATAGCTATTGGTTAAAATGCAAAACCAAGAGAGAAGGCTTTGATGGGGAAGGTGGCCCGGTGCCCCAGATACACTGATCGTGTCTGTCTTGCCTGGGACCACCCTCCCAGCAGATTTTGGGAGTCTCGATTGTTAACGCTATTCTAAGCCCTCTTCCCTGTGCACTTACCGCTCCTTCCATAGTATTTGCAAATCTGTTTTACAGATGAAATGCTAATAACTAGTGCTAGATTTTAGGAAGAATTTACAGAAGGCAGATAGTGTACCAGGCTTATATAAATTATTTTTATTGTTTCATGAATTCAGTCGATGGTATATAACAGAATTTTGTGCTGAAAACTTAAGAACCATTATTACCTAATCCTTAGCAAGGTAGTGTGATTGAGTGGAAGGAACCCAAGCTTTGGAGTAAAAGCCCCCCCGATGGGCTTAGCTCCCACCTCGGTCCTTACTGCTGTATAACCAAAGGCCAGTGACCCTGTTCTCTGTGTTCCTTATCTCTGTGTTGGAGGGAACAGCCACTTGCAAAATTGTGAGGGCTTAGTGAGCTAAATGCCTAGCAAGGGCCGAGGTGCGGGAAGCCCTCCATGCATGTCAGCATTTCCTCTATGAATGGATGTCCTCCCATAACACATGGGGGCGCTAGAGTATATAAGAGGTGTTCAGACTTTTCGGAAAGTGCAGTAAGGCCCCTTATCCCACAATTAAATGTTACGCAGAACTCTAGTATGTAAAGTGATTAAAAGATGAGAGACCAGAGCTCTCCCACTCACCCCCCATCTCCTCTCGGGACTTTAGAGGGCCCAGGGCTCCAGGAACTAGAGTTTGAAAACAGCTGTGCCAGGTGACGGCCAAGTGCCGTCTCAGTTCTTGCATTAAACAAATCAATGAGCCCTGGCCGGTTCTCTCAATCAGTTTCCACTGGAATGAGAGTTTTCAGTTTTAACATGAATCTATGTGTGGTTTGCTGAAGGACGTTTGAGAGAGACACAGATTAACTTGATTCATCTTCATCTAACATCTCTTGGCTGACTACTCCAGGTGTGGTTACACTTACAAATTTGACATTGATTATTTGTCTTATGACTGTGTCTTACTACCATTGAAGGCATGTAGATTTATTGTAACAGGAAAGCAGCACAGATAAGTGGAGAGTTTAAAGATTGGTGTTATTAATAATACACTCTGTGTGTGGATCAGTGATGTTCTGGAGCGTTCATGGATTATCTTATGCCCAATGGGACTAAAAGGACCGCGTTTGCTTCAGAGCAAGATAAAACTGGCCACTGTAAAAATACCTGAACAGTACCTAGTCACAGTGATAACGGCTTGGTGGGGTTTTTTTGTTTTGTTGTGTTGTGTTTGTTTTCATTCCTCAAGCAGCAGGGCACTCGAGATCTACTGTTGAAGGAGGCAAATGCATTTAACTGTTCGTTTTGCAGAAATTATCCCTTACACCCGTGTGGTCCTGGGTCACGGGTGGGTGTGTATTCTGGACTTTGTGGCATGAATAAGATGAAGGGCTGCTAGTGGGTCAAAGGGCTGCTTCTGTCTTGTCACATGGCGAGTTGTAGGTGTTAACAAAGTCTCGCTTAACCTCAGGATATCCCGGAAGCCCCTGAGAGACTGATGACGGACACCATTAATGAGCCCATCTTGCTGTGTCGATTTCCCGTGGAGATCAAGTCCTTCTACATGCAGCGCTGCCCCGAGGATCCGCGCCTCACCGAGTCGGTCAGTTTGTGCTTCAAACAGTATTCGTGATTTTGCTTTTTTAAGGGGGTAGGGGCTGTCATTGGAATAAGATACAGCTCATGGCAAATATTTTGTTATAAATCTAGAATGACAATATTTAAAGAAGTGTTTTTTGTCCTCTGATTGGGTTTAACCTACCTTGTCAAGTTACAGAATTCGAATAATCTTTGAATTGTGCATGATCCCAGTGCCCCTTTAGTTACAGGAGCTTAATCGTGACTTTCATTAAAACTCTAGAGCAGTGCCATGACTGAGAGCCTGGTAGTAACTGTATTTTATTTACTCATTTTTAAAGGTCGATGTGTTGATGCCCAATGTTGGTGAGATTGTGGGAGGCTCAATGCGTATCTGGGATAACGAAGAAATACTGGCAGGTTATAAAAGAGAAGGAATTGACCCCACTCCCTATTACTGGTACACAGATCAGGTAAAAACAAATTTTTAAAACACTCTTTAAATTTTTTCATAATAATAGTTGTGTATAAATTGAGATTTTTAAAAGGGAGAAATCAGGGTGGTATTTTGGCACTCGAATGAGCTGTTTTTGGTTTCATGGTTATAATGTGGC